GAGAGAGAGAGAGAGAGAGAGAGAGAGAGAGAGAGAGAGAGAGAGAGAGAGAGAGAGAGAGAGAGAGAGAGAGAGATCATCGACCGGTTGTTGTCATATTTGTTCTTGCGAGCGCTGCAACAGGTCATCTAGTTATACATAAACAGCTTTATTACATGGTCAGTCTCAGGCATGGCAATCAGTCTAGCGTACGTACTAAATCTGTTCACGATGACAAAGATCTGCCGTTTGCCACTCGTGCTGGTCACGAGGGTATCCATGAAATCCATGGATGCACTCTGACCAGCACCAGCAGGTATAGGCAAGGGCTTGACTAACGCAAGTGGTGCCTGCGTCCTTGGTTTGTCAGGCTGCACTAAATTTGCTGCATCTCCTTAAACCACCAGTACCTGGCCCAGCTATCGAGTCCGAGCCTCCGCCGACCGGTACGCCGATCCGTGCCGAGGCTGGGACTACCGGGCGCAGGCATCCCGAACGTCCATGTGAAGGCCACGAAAAAAACGGGAAAAAAAAAACGAGAAAAAAAAGAAATAAGAAAAATAAACGGGTTCATCCCCGCGTTCAACTGAAAGTACCACAGAGAGAGAGCGAGCGAGAGAGAGAGAGAGGCGGCGAGGTCGCCGCCTCTCTCTCTCTCTCTCTCTCTTTTCGAGAGACTCTCTCTCTCTCTCTCTCTCTCTCTCTCTCTCTTTCTCTCGTTTCGAAACACTAAACGGGAAAGCATCTTCCCGTGAGGGTTGCGGCGAACTCGCCGCCCCTCTCTCTCTCTCTCTGTCTCTCTCGTTTCGAAACAGTAAACGGGAAGATGCATTCCCGTTTACTGTTTCGAAACGAGTGAGAGAAAGAGAGAGGGGGAGAGAGAGAGAGGGGCTGCGACCTGCACGGAGGGTTGCGGTGAACTCGCTGCCCCTCTCTCTCTCTCTCTCTCTCTCTCTCTCTCTCTCTCTCTCTCTCGCTCGTTTCGAGAAACCAAACGGCCGCGACAGCGGGAGGACACATTCCCGTTTTGTATTTCGAAACGAGACTGGTGGTTTCTCTCTCTCTCTCTCTCTCTCTCTCTCTCTCTCTCTCTCTCTCTCTCTCTCTCTCTCTCTCTCGCGTGTGTGACGTCAGCTTGTTTTCCGTTGTTTTTTTTTTTCCGTTTGTGTATTTCAATTTTTATTTTCCTTCTTTTTTCTTTTTTTTTCTCTCTACTGTGTCAGTGTGTCGTCCCTACAGAAGCGGGGCCCGGCATCCGCGCTACGACCRGGCCTTCCCTCGGCCGACCCCCCTAAGGCTGCGGCGCGTACACGGGAAGGCCCGCGGCCGATAGCTGAGCGAGGTACTGGTGGTTTAAAACCGAAATGACCGGTTGCATCACCTAGAGACAAACTACGCAAAAACTCTCTAGACGGGACGCACGCACGTTTACTCCCGGCCTTCTCGAGGAACAGCAGTCTGATGTGGTGTTATCATTGGCCTTGAGCTTGCGAATGATCTCAGACATCAACGGGTCCTCTTGGCAGACCACCGTGGATCGAGTCACATTGTCAGATATCCGAAACTCAATCACTAGCCCTCCTCGACAATGCGTCGACTACCTTATCATACTCTTCCTTGAGATGGTCCAACTTTCAAGTCATACATGTCTATGACCTCAATCCATCGCTTCAGCGCATCAGAGAGAGCAGGTTGCGTCTCATGTTCAGATCTTACATAGAGAAATCTGCCAAGACGGTAGTGCCTCCAATAAGACAACTCTTTATATGGGGCGTAGAGCTCCCGCTCATTGGTGAACTTAGCTAGCTTTTGAGATGGTATTTTCTGGCTCATGTACTCGACTGGCCGCAACTTTTCTTCCTCCTGCTGCGCAAGAACCGTGGCAACGGTATTGACTGCATCCGTGGTCACTACCAAAGGCTTCTCAGGATCGGGAAGCTTCAAGACCTAGTGGTGCGTGAGGGCATACTTCAGTCTCTTGAAGGTGGCATCACGCTAATCTGTCCACTCCCACAGGGTGTCAAGGCGCGTGAGGTCCGTTAGTGGTGAAGCTATAGTACTGTAATTCTTCACAAACGGGCGATAGTAGCCCGTAATCCCCAAGAACGACCTCACCTCAGTCACATCTGGGCCAGCGACATATGCTGTCTGTCTTCGCATCATCCAGCGTCAGTCCATCCACTGAAATCTCATGGCCCAAGTACAATATCTCGGTGACACCAAATTTGCATCTCTCCAAGTTGATCGTGTATTGTTGCTGCTGCAGGAGATCTAGCACGATCTCAACCTACTTAGTGTGCTCCTCGACAGTCGTACTAAAAGGATATCGTCGAGGTATACGACGGTAAACTTGTCCAAGTAGTCATGAAAGATCCTATTCATAGCCTGCTGGAACTTCCCAGGAGCATTGCATAAACCAAAAGGCATCTCCACAAACACATACAGACCTTACCTGGGCTGAAAGGCGATTTTGTGCTGATCCTCAGGGCTATTGGCAATCTGATGGCATCCAGACAAGAGGTCATCGATGCGTAGTACGGGGTCTGTGTTCTTAACGGTGATGGCATTGAGTCCCCTATAGTCAATGTACATCCTAAGCTTCCCTCCTTTCTTGGGAACAAACAGTGTGCGCACACCGTAGGGGGACATATTAGGCTGGATCCAGCCCTTCTCTGTGAGCTCCTTAAGCTGTCAGCGAAGCTTGTCTAACTCCGCAGGAGACATCCTGCAAATCCGTCCTCTAGGCACTTTACTACCTGGAATGACTTCTTGAGCATGGACTATGCCCCTAGGGTCCTCAAAAATGTTCGGATATCGAGCAACGACTTCTTTCTCTGGAGGTCTTTTAACGGCCTCCCCTTTCTCGAAGACGAAGATTAAGTACATACCCTCTTCCTGATCTTGCTTATTATACTTGTAGAAAACTGACGCACACATCCAACCATAGGTCTCGGCTAGTCTGCTAGTGTTGTGTTTCTGCAGACTAAGTCCTTCCATCTGGCAACTTGTATAACATCACCTTCCTGTCCCAGTCAAACTGAGGCTTTGCTACTTCGATCTAGTACATACCTAGCAACATATCAAAAAGCTCGTCGCTCACCAGGAACCTGAATTTCCCCTCCTCCATAGGAAAATGTACAGACTACATCCTTGACATAGTCTGTGACAACCATGGAGTGCTTGTTGGCTAAGGTGGATGCTGCAGATCTGCTAAGCCGCTGCACTAGTCCCCTAAGCGCAGCCTATCCACGCAAGAACGACTCAGAAAAGTAATAGAGTCGTCATCGCTCATCTTACTCGATAAGTTCACTCTAGATTTTTAGCTGTCAGAGCGGGTCGGTCGTTCTCACTCTACATTGATCTAGAGCACCAGCCTGCAAAGGCCGTTTTTTTTTAGGGATGTCCTGAGGACCCTTGAAACGCCTTGGTTTACCTTGAGTGGGCCTGGAGTCTGGACGGACAACCCTGGCTGGCACTGTCTTGTAGTGAAATGGCCGAACTCAGAACGTGACAGAGCAACTCTAGCTTTTGTAGAGTCTACAGCTAGTGTGGCGACGCGTAGATTTTAGGATCTGTTGCGACTCTGACAGCCCTAGGACTCAACGAATTTTTCACGAGTCTAGAGTAGTGCAGCGAGCCTCTTAGTGTCGACGTCCTGTAAGCTCGGGTTGAGCAGCATCTAATGGTGTGCACACGGCCAACCCCTGTGCCCCAGGGCAATGCTAAACTGGCCATCCCCTTCCGTACTGTTTTTATACTCGTGTACAGTGGGAGTTGAGTATCCCCGCCCGAGTCTCTTTATAGACGGTCCAGTACTCATCTATCCCCCGTAGGGCTTCCCTGCCGAACACGACCTCTGTTGTGCAGCAAAGCAGACCATACGACAAGCAGCAAAGCATGCGTGCTCTACTCCCGGTGTGTTGGCATGGTGATAGTGACCCACGTGCTTCGTCCAACACCCGTCTCCCACCAGTGTGCTGCCCATGAAGAATGTCAACTCTCGAGGTTGAGCGCACACGACACCTCACAATGAGAGGACTCTTAATACCAAGACTCACTTCCTCACAGTAAGAAGTAACGAAAAGGATGGGTAATGTAAGGAGCAACGCACTTTATAGTGCTGCCCCCAACCACAGATTTCTCATCAGTTGACCTAAAGTGCATTTGTGATGATTGGTCAGGGCCTCGGCACAACCTACAATACAATGCAGTTCCACCTCCGCTTAAATGCCACGTCAGCAAGCTCTCATCATCCAGTTTACACCGCAATGTTGCCACATAGCCTTCCAGGTGCGGCCTCACGACACAGGGCAGCCAATAAACCCACCGCCATGGATCAATCACCGCCTTGCATTGTCACGGCACATCGCCGATACCCCAATGTGCTTTAGCCAGCGGAGCGGCTCGAACTAGCTTCGATACCAAATTGCAAGGAAAAATGAGCAATAACGATATGACAGAATTCCAGATTGTGAAAATCACACAGAAACCCAAATAGTCGAAAGCTGTCCAGAAAGCTAAAATGCACTGATGTCACACCAAAGGAGAACAAAAGTAGCCATCCCAGGCATGAATGCCCCGACATGTCTGCCTTTCTACAATTTCTGGGTGGGAAAACAAGTCTACCAAACTGAAAACGAGTTGGAAAACCGGTGTGGCAAAGATTGAAAATTGATGTGCACGGTTTGTATCATTGATTCTCCACTGCCTAGGAGCGCCTCCACATCAGGCCCGGTGGATGTCCGATGGAGTGCCTATGGTTTGCATTTGTACAATGTTTGAGTGGGAAAACAAGGCTTCCAAGCTGGAAAACGAGTTGGGAAACCTGTTGTGGCAAAGATTGGCACTGTTTGCATCATTGATACTCAGCTGCCTAGGAGGGCCTCCACATCAGGCCCAGTGGATGTCCGATGGAGTGCCAATGAAGTGACATCCTCCTGAAAAGTGATACATTCACATCATTGTACAGGGTCGCTGGACCTGATTTCCAGCAGGAAAAAGAAAAAAGGGCTTCCAATGTTTCCCAACATCTCTCAGAACACTGAAACTGGTTTGAACCCTACATAGCAAAGTTCAGGTCGGAAGATGGTGGTGGTTTAAGGGGTTGGTCAGTGCAATGGTTGACGGGATCCGGAAAGTCCAGTGTTACACGTGCACACCGCATGCTTTATGCATGAAGTATTATGGGGCACAGGAGCCGGGGGAAAGGTAACCCTAGTGATACCTGGTCAAGTGTGGTCTTTCCCGTTTTGCCCGTTCAGTCAGATTGCAGTGCATTGTGGAAGGGTGGGCGAAAGCCCGAAGGGTGTGGGGAATTTTGATAATGCGATGATTGTGGTTCCCTTACCATTGCTGGTGCTCCACTGGCAGGAGATCAGGCGAGGCAGGAGTAAGCGAAGGGAAGGTCAACATCGCGAGCGAAAGGTTTCAGTGGACTCCACTGGAGCCCCCCGAACAAGTGGTGCTCTCTCAAGCGGTGAGGGTGGGCCAAGGCACTCAAGGCAACTGTCATCAGGGGGAGTGTCTTCTGGAGGCGAGGGAGCAGGTCCAATAGAGGGAAGACTAGGAAGTGGACGGCGGTTGTCATCTGGGGGGGCTGCCATGTCCTCTGGTGGCGAAGGAGGTGTTGGAACACGCCGACTGTCGTCTGGCATGTCGTCTGGCGGAGAAGGTGGGGGATCGAGGATGTCGGGGATATATGTTGGCAGCTGGGGAAGCAGTGTTATGAGTGCGGGAAGTGGCTCTGAAGGTCCAGTAAATCGACCGCCTCGAGGGGACTACCGCAGACGGCCAATTGCAATACCAAATCATCAACGACTGTTTGGAAGCGCGTCAAAGGATCTGCGAAGCAGACGTCATATGCAGTCTGAGAGTCCACCAGGAGACTCCGTCGGATTCTTTTTTGGGACGACACCAACTGACAGCTTCAGGTAAGCTCAGTGTGTATTGTTCGCTTTACCTTTTGGGTTTTGGGACTTGTGAATGCCCTAAAAGAACCCAAAAGCAGATTGAATGAATCTCTGTTGGTGAATGTGAGTGTCTGTGTTTGTGTTGTGAGGATTCAGGTCAATGTTGAGGTACCAACACTGTAGCATACTGTGGCTCCTACATGGGCCCTTGTCAGGCCTGTTATTTCTCCTTGCGGCCCCTAGGCCATGCAGCCATCTTGCTGCTAGACTTGGAGGGCCACAGCCACTTCCTTAGGCCTAGGCTCATATTTGTCCCGTTCGCCTTTCTTTTGTTCCACATTTATTTATTTAGGGAAAATTGTTGAAATGCCCCGGGAAGTTGGGGTATTTTGTCAGATATGCCTAAATAGCATGGGTACGGTGAAATGCCCCTATGATTGTCGTGAAACTTTGGGTAATACCCCACTTGGAAATTGGACCTGTCATCTTTTGCATATACCCCTACCTGTCCCTTGACAACTTGTCGATATGCCCAGGTATTTCTGTCCGTGGACTCTGCAGATGGCAAAAAAAATGCATGGCCCCCTGCAGCCCAGGACCAGGGCATATGGCAAAGTTAGCGATGACCGGAACAGGGCCAGAATCCGCCAGATGCAAAAGTTTGGGGCATTTCGGCGTACTCCTGTTTTTTAGGGTATTTAGCAAAATACACCAACTTTTATGGGTAATTCAACAATTTCCCATTTATTTATCAATTTCCCTACATAATATAACTATCGCTAATTTTCGGCCTGTGACATTCAGACGATCGGGGCCCTGCGATTTTACACTCCGCGACGACCCCGATCGTCTGCTGATCGTTTGCTCTTAGAAGTTGAACCGTCGCGGGCGGTTCCGCGCCAGGGCCTGTACTGGGCCCATGCGCCAGCGCCGGTACCAAAGCGTGTTACCAGCCCTACCGCACGCGGTACCGGGGTTGCGCGTGACACGCTACCAGTCCAGCGCCGCTACAACGTATAGAAACTACTTCGGGCAGTGCGTGTGCCCGCGGGCAGGTATACTGGACGCTCGACGCCTGTTTGACAAAGCTACTCGACTGAGCTACGCTACGCTACTCTAGGATCGATGCCTGTTTTCGACATTCAAGCTACTGGACTCACTTCTACTCTACTATGCACGACTAAGACCTCGCTCTACGTTGGACACACGCGCACCCGCACCCGCACACGCACACGCACACACACGCACGCACGTGCACACACACACATGCACACACGCACTCACACACACACACACACGCACACGCACACGCAAAAGTGGTGAGTCCCTGGCCATCCGTACAGTTCATCTTGGGCGGACTGTCGAGGTTCAACCTCCTGATGAGTCGGTGGAAGTCCGACGAAACAGTCTGGCTGAGTCATGTTGTGAGGTCTGTATAGCGAACATAACAACACTCACACATGCGCAGACTCACGCACACACACAAACACACACTCACACACACTCACCCAGGACACCATCTCCACATTCTGAATGTTGGACGCTGAGGCTTGAGCCGTGCAGCGGCAAGGCTTTCGAACGACCACACCTTGATGACTGTCGGTGAGTTTGTTATTCGTGTCTGTTGCTTTCATTTTTTGTGGTCTTGGAACTATGAGAGAAAGAGAGTGCGTAGTGTCCACGTGCGTGTGTGTCTGTGTGTGTGTGTGTGTGTGTGTGTGTGTGTGTGAGAGAGAGAGAGAGAGAGAGAGAGAGACAACCTACGACCTGCTGTCAAGTGTATTATCAGCACCAATCAGTTTCATATCTGATCCGTGGTCCATCGCGACCCAAAGAGAAAGAAACGGAAAACAACAACCATCAAGGGTGCGCGAGACCATCGGAAAAAAAAAAGGAAAACGCCGTGCCCGTGGGAGAGAGAGAGAGAGAGAGAGAGAGAGAGAGAGAGAGAGAGAGAGAGAGAGAGACCAACCTAACGAACTGTCCGCCTCCCCCCCCTCACCCCCACATGACAAAGTGCCGTATCTGTTTCGATCAGTTTAATATCCGATCCTACCCCCCATACGATCAAGCGTTGTAACTGCTTTGTTCAGTTTCATATCTGATCCGTGGTCCATCGAGACCTCTTTTCTTTAATAAAAGAAAAAAAAGCACGCGCGCGAGCGAACGAGCAAGAGGGAAGGAGGGAGGGAGGGAGGGAGGGAGGGAGAGAGAGAGAGAGAGAGAGAGAAAGATAGAGAGAGAGAACGTAACCTAACTAACTATGCGCCTCCCCTCCCCCCCACGCGATCAAGCATAGTATCTACTTCGGTCAGTTTCAAAAGAAGGGAGAGAGAGAGAGAGGGAGAGAGAATCCAACTAGGCGCCTCCCCCCCCCCCACGATCAAGTGCAGTATCTTCTTCGATCAGTTTCATATTCGATCCTCCCTCCCCGCACGATCGAGCGTATTATCTGCTCCGTTAGGTTTCATATCTGATCCGCTGTCCATCGAGACCTTTCTATTGTAGAAAAGAAAAAAGAAGCACGCGAGGTCGCGCGCGTACACGGTGGAGAGAGAGAGAGAACCCAATCTAACCCAACTA